CTGCCTCGGCCCCGCCGACCGCGGCACCTACCGCTGCGAGAGCCTGCACGACCGCACGCAGGCCAAGCTCTGCGTGGAGCGTGAGTACCGCGCTGGGGATGGGGACGGGGATGGGGGGGGACACCTGCCTGCTGCAGCTATGCTGCAGGCTGGAGGAGGGAATTTGGGCAGAGCTCGTGCTTGGCTGGACAGGTGAGTGTGGGGGTGAGGGATGGGCACGGGTAGGAGCCTGGTAAAAAGGGCTGGATTTAGGGGATCGCTGCAGCAAGCACAGACTGGGGAGCTGGGGGCTCTGAGGCGGAGCAGGCACCCACTCACAGACATGGGTCCCTTGCAGCCCGGAAGGTGTCGATCCAGATGCCGCTGGCAGATGTGGAGACCTTTGAGAAGGAGACGGCCACCTTCCACCTGGAGCTGTCTCACCCCAGCGTACCCGGGGTCTGGACACGGGATGGCATCCGGGTGAAGCCCACCAGCACATGCCGGATCAGTGCCACAGGCTGCGGGCACAGCCTGACGCTGGAGGGGCTGACGCTGGAGGACTCGGGCACTGTCACCTTCACCACTGACACCCTGCGCTGCAGCGCCCGCTTGCTTGTGCGGGGTATGGTCACCGGGGCAGGCTTGGGGGGGGCACGTGGCACCGGCGCTGCCATTTGGTCCCCGGGGGAGATGACAGAGCTGAGCTGGGCAGGTCTGGGCACATGTGGAAGGTGTCCCCCTGTCCCCAGGGAGGAAATGTGAGCTGAGCAGTGGGGATCCAGCAGCCAGGGTCTGGGTCCAGAGCCAGCTGGGACACCAGTGACGAGTGCTTGTCCATGGTCATGCCCCAGGAAGTCCCATCCTCACCCCAGGCTGAGATGCCCGGGGCACAGCTCCCATCCCTGCAGCCCCAAGCCCATGTCTTTCCCCTACCAAACCTTCCTGCCCTGTGTGCTCCCCCCTCAGAGCCTCCAGTCACTATGGTGAGGGTCCCGCGGGACCTTGGGGTCCCAGAGACGGGGGTCGCCAGCTTTGAGTGTGAGCTGTCTCGCCCCAGCGCAGAGGTGAAGTGGTTCAAGGTGAGGGTTTGCCCCAATCCCCTCCTCTAGCGCCTGGTCGTGCCCTCCTCCCTGATTCACACCCCTGGCTGCTGCCCTCCCTGCCAGGGCTGCAGGCAGGGGATAGGGGGCAAAGCAGCGG